TGGATAACATAGATAGGAATACTCGCCCGAGCATCTGTGGGAACGCACAGCGAAATCGATCGATTAAACAACCAACATTTGAACAAAAGTGACTTGCTGATTAGTGCCGAGTGCCGACAGTACTGGCAAGTCAGCGTCGTTGAGAATCTATGTTGAAGGCAAAAAGAAGAGATAACCAATCAACCCTTACGGGCATTTGCCCTGCTGCAGGGGGTATATCTCGTGCACCTGCCAAATATATTAAGGTTGTATATCTTTATTTTAGGGATTCCTTTCTTTGGGAAGGGTCCCAGTACGGATGTGAACCTGCAAAAGTATTTGGATAATCTGAATAAGGCGCCTCTGAAACCGTCTTCAGATTATCTTATTCAGATTCGTATGTTCCTAATTCGTAGAATATACGAATGCATATTCCACGAACAAATGTGATATCTCCTTTGTATCATCAGCTGGTATTGTCCAATTGCTCAAGGGGGGGGGATTCCCAATTTCATGGATTTCAAAATCCACGGCGTTGTTAGCGCGAAGAAGTCAAGTATATATTTGGATTTTGGCCTACCTAGACCTTCATGATTCTTTTAGCTATTGAATCGTCCAGGAGAAACCGCACGAATCTACAGTGACGTACTTCAAGACTTGGTTAAGTGGAGACTACTGCTTTTTGAAGAGCAAACAAAGATGATCCGGTCTTACATGACGAGCTTCGACAGATCATTGATGAACTACGATTCTATCAACAACCCCGTGGATCACATGATATTATTGCCTTACGTATTGAAGATGAGGTTCATCTTCCAAACGGAGATATCATCAGTAACTACCACTGAGCAGTGGCAAACTGTCCAATATTTTCATAATGTGAACTACTTATTATTCAGTAATTGCGAAAACCCTATTGTATATTTCTTTTACATATACATGTATATTATACATGGCTCCCAGTACATGTATATTCCACGAACTAATGTGATACCTGCTTTGTAGCATTGTATGATTTCAAAATCCGAGGCGCTGTTAGAAGGTGGCTAAAACTACCAAACTAAAATTCCGAGAAAATAGGATTCATTTGATGAAGGAAAGGATCGAGATGTTGAGGCAACAAAACGATATAGCCGGCCTCCGTGAAGTTGCCCCAGAACAATTTGTTTGCTTAAACGTTGAAGTTGCACATGTACAATCTGTAAAAACAACTAAACACTCAAAATGGGTCTTCGCTCACAAAACAAGAAGTGATCTTTCGAGTTCCCACAGGATTCTGTGGGAAGATTATGTTGAGTCTTGAATACCAGAAAACCTATACCACGTCCAAAATGTTCGTGATATTGACAAACTAACTGCATGGACTAAACTTCAAAAACAAGAATCTGAATACGAAATAAATTCGTTACGACGTGAAATTGATGATTTACATGCCAAAATTAAAGGATTAACTTTAATGACTGCTTGTTTCGGCTAATGCGACGGAAAAGAACGAGACATTAAGACAACAAAACTCTATATGTCACTGAAGTTTTAAAGAGACTACACTACCTTCAAAGATTTAACCGTTTTAAGTTCTTTGTATGTTTGCATGGCGATAAAACATATAATAGTTTTGTTTGTGGAAACACCACGTAAATTTTTGTCTCGAAAAAAGAAGGGATGGCGTGTAACGCCGTCAAAAGCAGCAAAAATATGACATGGAGATCAGCGAAATATAATGAGATTAAAAAGTGACAAACTAGTTTAACTTACTGGGGATCGGAAGAGCAATTGTAAATATATTATACACACTCATTTATATGGTAAACTTGGAGACAGAGAAAATAGGATTCAATTATTGACTGATTGGGCTGCAAGCATTTCATCTAACGTGACAGAAGAGATGAGATGTCGAGGCAACAAAACTCAAAATGACTCAAGTTTAATCACAACCTTTGTTTAGAAGACCAGATAATTTGTTCATTTTTTGTTCGTGTTAAATTAACATAATTTGAAATAATTTAGTTTTTGGACGAGCGAAAATACTGGGTTTGAATAAAGAACTGAAGAATAAAGCACAATTGAACGTTTGGGCTGCAAGCATTTTATCGAACATGACAGAAGAGAATGAGATGTTGAGGAAACAAAACTTTATATGACTCATGTTCTCGTAGAAATATCTCAACTTTCAATATTTAACCATTTTGTCTTGAAACAATGAAGTAAATATGCGCAAAACAGCGATAGTCTGCTTGAATATAGGTACAGGTTTGAAATAAGCACTGAAGAATTAAGCACAAGCAAACATTTGGGCTGCAAGCATTTCATCCAACGTGACAGAAGAGATCGAGATGTTGAGATAACAAAACTCAAAACATTAAATGCAATGACCAATATTTATGTTTTCTTACTAATGTATTATTTTGTCTTACATGTAGTGTACTGGACGTTGCCATTTCAGCAAAGGTCTATGAATGATCAGTAATTTTTATAATAATTGAATACGTAAGTCTTATAATCTGTTAAATGCAGTCTAATTAAAATAACAATGCCTCTGCGATATCATTGTTGTATTTGTTCTGGTTTTAGTCGAACCAAATTACAATTGGCCCTGGCAACAACTAAAGCACGAGCTAAACAAATGTCGTCCGTGTTTTGGATCCGTATAATTTAGCCTTTTTTGGCCAAATGTTTTTCCAAATTAATTTCACTTCGCTTCGTGCCAGTTCCGCCTTTAGGCATTTCAACATGGATTAAATTGACATTGACACTATCATTCAAACGAAATTCATGATTGGATTGAGTCACACACGCTCAAATTCAGCTAAAACCAGCTCAGTTGTAAGACGCTGACGAGGCAAGAAAGGTAGAGAATTGGGGGTTTCTAGTTGAGGCGATTGCAACACAAAACGATCTTGATCTTGCATAGGAATTACTTGCGTTACAGTATTCAATATACTTTCAAATATTTCATGAAGACGGTCGTGGTATTGAGAAAGTTCCAAATGCGCAAACGTGTCCATAAATTGAACTGCATAATCCATACTAGTTGTGCTGAACTTTTTCACTTTAACTTGCTTAACATTCGATACGCTAAAAAAGTTATCGCTAACCTGTTCAGATGTTCCTGCACCGTCATTCACTTCATCGATGGATCTTTTCTGTCCACGACCTACTTGTAATAAGGGTTCATCGCCTAGCCAATCCATCATAAAATTATCTCGTTGTTCACGTGTCCAAGAATCCATAAGGTCCGAAGCGAGTCCTAATCGTTCGTTCTGCAGCAAAGGGTCGTCGTCTTGCCAATCCATCATAAACTGTTGTCTCTTTTCCGGCGTCCAAGAATCCGAAAGGTTTGCAGTAAGCCCAACTCGTTCGTTTTTCGCTTCCCATTCTAGCAAACGGCTAATAATTTCGACTTTTCTCTCGAACAATAAGCCCTGCTCAAATTCATTCAAAGTATGTAGACTTTCCAAAGCCGTGAGCTCAGCTACGGTTTGGGCTTCGCTAATTTTCTCAGCTAAATTCATACTAATAGATCAAATACTTTGTGATGTTTTCTCCGTGAAAGCAGTGCAAACAGTACGTCAAGCTACATTTTTCGAACCGATTTATATTTTCTGTTTATTGACGACAAACCTAGTCTACAGCGGTCCCCGTAAACGTTACGTAAAGTAAGCTGAATCACGCGCACATCATGTTCGTTCGCGTACGACCTTAATACAACGCTTAACCTTTGCGTGCGACCACACAGGGCACAAACAGGAAGAAAACTCAATTAGTACGTACATGTACTGCCTTAAATCGATTAAAACGGACGAACAGGGCATTTAGGCTAGCACTCGCCATGGAGAAAAAGCAAAAAGAAGCCGAGCGCTCAAGAAGAAATCGAAGAAAACGGAAAAATGAATTTGAACGATAGAAGGAGTTCTACGAGTATGCTACTGAGAACAACATGCCGTTTGTGCTAGATTTCGAAGTAAAACGGCAGCGTCGTCAGCAGTAAGAGCAACCGGTGCTAGAAGAGCAATCAATCAAGCAAGAGCAACCGGTGCTAGAAGAGCAACAACCGGAGACGAGTAATGATTCGGCAGTGGTAGACGATATATTAGATGTTGACCTCAGCGGTTTTAAATGGTAAAAAGAAGAAACAAAAAAAATAATTTATATTCATTGGTCTTAGAAATATTTTTATAAATAATTTGTGTAAAATAAATCGTTCTTTCTGTTTGTTCAGTCAACAAGATATTTTTAGATATATTATGGCTATTCAAGACAAGACAATTATGAACTTGGTTGCCAAATACTGTTACGACATTTTAGCAGTTTTTTGAAAGCTTAAATTAGGTTATTAGTAAAATTCTTATATTTTTTGTATGTATAATGTAGTGGTAGATTTTTTATGTATGTATCTTAATATACCAAAACTGGTATTTTGTTGATTAAACATATTATTATAAGTGTCTCACGCACAATGTCCTAAGTGCTAATTGTTCGTGCAATAAAGCGTACGCACTACAAAGCGTACGCACGGCTCTGTTCGCACTCAATTGTTCGTACAAAACTGTTCGTACGTTGTTATTGACATTCAAATAAAAAAGCGACCGAAAAAATCACATCACAATCAATCAGCCAACATGCAGTGTAAAGCAGACATCGTCGGGATCTTTGACATGGACGGATTTCAAATTGGAAAGAAATTTTTCTGTAAGGAGTTGGGAGTCATAAAGGTCGGAGACTCTTGAAGCCTCGTCGTTCTTTTTCGATATTGGCTTACACTGGAACGAGCTCAAAGAGAAAGACAAGAGAACGTGTAACTTCGTCCAGAAGAATATACACAGCTCCTGTTTGTTTGCTCCTCAATTAGTACGTACATGAACTGCCTTAAATCGATTAAAACGGACGAACAGGGCATTTCGGCTAGTACTCGCAATGGAGAAGAAGCAAAAAGAAGCCGAGCGCTCAAGAAGAAATCGAAGAAAACGGAAAAATGAATTTGAACGATATAAGGAGTTTACGATTATGCTACTGAGAACAAGATGCCGTTTGTGCAAGAATTCGAAGTAAAACGGCAGCGTCGTCAGCAGCAAGAGCAACCGGTGCTAGAAGAGCGATCAATGAAGCAAGAGCAACCGGTGCTAGAAGAGCAACAACCGGAGACGAGTAATGATTCGGCAGTGGTAGACGATATATTAGATGTTGACCTCAGCGGTTTTAAATGGTAAGAAGAAGAAGAAGAAACAAAAAAAAATTCTAAATTCATTAGTCTTAGAAATATTTTTATAAATTATTTGTGTAAAATAAATCTTTCTTTCTGTTTGTTCACTCAACAAGATATTTTTAGATATATTATGCCTATTCAAGACAAGACAATTATGAACTTGGTTGCCAAATACTGTTACGACATTTTTGCAGTTTTTTGAAAGCTTAAAGTGCCTATGCGACAATTCTTTTTATGATTGAATTGCAAAGTTCATTTAAAATTATCATATAACTTGTTTTTTAAAACTTTGTAATCTTTCCTATTTGTCAAGATTTTCGACTTTGTTTGATATACAAATGTGACTTAAATGACGTCACACTGCATAATGCTTTTATAGAAGACTGTGTTGTAGCTTGTTAAAATTCTCATTATCTCAACTTTACAGACGAAATAATCGCTTTGATAGCTCTTAAAGTATATCACTTTCAATGTCAGTGGAATTATTACATGTTTGGCAAGGAAACGTTTTCTTTCTAAAAACTCATTATGCAGTGTGACGTCATTCAAGTCACATTTGTATATCAAAGAAAGTCGAAAATCTTGACATACAGGAGAGAATACAAAGTTTTAGAAAACAAGTTATATTATGATTTTACATGAACTTTGCAATTCATTCATAAAAAAAATTGTCGCATAGGCACTTTAAATTATAGGTTATTAGTAAAATTGTTATATTTTTTGTATGTATAATGTAGTGGTAGATTTTTTATGTATGTATCTTAATATACCAAAACTGGTATTTCGCTGATTAAACATATTATTATAAGTGTCTCACGCACAATGTCCTAAGTACTAATTATTCGTGCAATAAAGCGTATACACTACAAAGCGTACGCACCTGTACTGTATATTTCTCCAAATCACGCCCCTCATGGAAATCAGCTCCGAGTTGTTGAGGCCAGCGTGCTTAAATAAATTTTTGTATGTATGTATGCACGGCTCTGTTCGCACTCAATTGTTCGTACAAAACTGTTCGTACGTTGTTATTGACATTTAAATAAAAAGGCGGCCGAATAAATCACATCACAATCAATCAGCCAACATGCAATGTAAAGCAGACATCGTCGGGATCCTTGACATGGACGGATTTCAAATTGGAAAGAAATTTTTCTGTAAGGAGTTGGGAGTCATAAAGGTCGGAGACTCTGAAGCCTCGTCGTTCTTTTTCGATATTGGCTCACACTGGAACGAGCTCAACGAGAAAGACAAGAGAACGTGTAACTTCGTCCAGAAGAATATACACAGCTCACGTTTGGAGTGCCACGGGGCACTAAAGCATTTCAAATTTCGAACTTGCAGGCAATTGTAGAGAATTTCTACCGTGAAATACAGATAGATTCAAACTCTACAATTGTCTTCAAAGGCGGACATTACGAAAGGGACTTGCTGGCCGTATTCCGGCCGTAAATTTGGAATGCTTTAATTGTCCCAAAGCTGAAAAACTATTTTATCAACTGATCTGGTTAGAAACCTGCGGGAACCACCTGGAAAGCAACGCTTATCAACACTGCGCAAGTCAAAGTCGAGGCCTTTGCGATGTGGCTGCAACAGTAAAGACAAACAACAAAACACCGGTTCTTTTAAGAACCACCCATTTTACAAAAAAGAATAAAAACGAAACTCGATTATTAACATATTTACACTGAATCTCAAAGTTTACTTCTCAAATATTCCACATATGCCTTGTAATGATCTTCTTCTTCATGACTTCTAAATTGCTCGCCTGTTGCTTTCACAGTATACTTAAAACAAGGGGGCATTGAAAAAAGACCATAGCCCCAGGTTCAAGTGGGTCATCACAACAATCCTCTTTCCAGTTAGAAAGTTGGTCTAGAATACTCAGCATCTCACTGTTCTCCACACTCATCATTGATTTAACACACACGGGGTCTCTCCTCAATTGATTCCAATATTCAAACACGTATTCATCCCACTGAAGCTCTAAAACTTTGGTCGTCTCAACAAACTTATTCCATACCATGTCTTTTTTGCTAACTCGCTCTATGGCTTCCAAATCATACATCTGCGACCTCTCCTCATACGATAACATAAGACACTCACTCTGACTAAAGCGATTTAGTTTACAACCACAGCACCTCTCTTCGAAAAGCTCATAAACCTCGCAAGAAACAGTTTGTGCAAATATCGTCTCTAACAAATTGCATAGCTTCAGAAATTCCATAGTCAACATTATTTCGTCAACATTATTCGACCTTGAAGAACGCATACTTGGTCGGGAAAGAAAACATTCCTTAGCCCTATTCAATTGGTTTGGGCCCATTTAAACAATTACGTGAAAGGTACAGGCATGACGTAACAGAATGTACGCACGCTAAGTACGAACACCTGGACGTAAACTCCTGATAACGTCATACATTCGCCTGAATTACTTCCGTCGCTGGATGGGGGGGGGTGTTACCTACAGTACTAATAGTACAAATAGTAATAATAGTAATAATAATAATAGTAATAATAATAATAGTAATAATAATAATAATAAACAAAAAGAAGAGGAGAGTGGGTGATTTGTTGGCATGTGGTCCAGCGAAGACATATTTGGACAAGGAATATCTGCTTGTTCATTAACTTACAACACCACCTGAAGAAGTCAAGTATATATTTGGATTTTGGCCTACCTAGACCTTCATGATTCTTTTAGCTATTGAATCGTCAAAGAGAAAATCCAGGAATTTACAGTGACGGACTTCAAGACCTGGTTAATTGGAGACTACAGGTTTTTGAAAAGCAAAAAAAGATGATCAGGTTATACATGACGAGCTTCGACAGATCATTGATGGACTACGATCCAATCAACAACCCCGTGGATGACATGATATTAATGCATTACATGTTGAAGATGAGGTTCATGTCCCAAACGGAGATATTAATCAGTAACCACCGCTGAGCAGTACCAAACTGAGCAATAATTTCATGATAATGTGCACTACTTATTGTTCAATCATTGCGAAAACCCTACTGTATATTTCTTTCAGGTACCAGTTCAAAAGAAATTGAGCTAACTAACATCGCTCTACTGTTCTGTTGCAAACAATGTACTATACGAAGTGAACGGTCCAAACAAATTCCTTCAGATAAGTGAATCTAAAAAAAACTTCGTGTCTCACATTGTAACTTGTGCCTATATAAGGCCGCAAAAATGATTTGAAAATGTGACTGGGAAAGTTGCAATTTCATATTTAAAAGTCAAATTGCAATATGTAATTTGTCGCTTTTAAAGCCCTGATCAAACCAGAACGCGAATCATCGCAAGTAAACTTGCCCTGAATTGCGATGGGACCGATCAAACGATACGCAAGTTATCGCAACAATTTACAATATTTGGCCCGTGTACCGGGTAATTTTGTAATTTTGCAAAATTGTATGGCCATCATTTAAACACATTTTAAACGAATGTAAAAACTTTTGAAAATGCCATGTAAAATGAAGCGAAAGCTGCCAACAACACTGTGTTATTTTCTCGACTTGCATGAAACGTGGAAAAACAAGACAATGGATTAAGCGAAGATCAGAAAAAGGTCATTTTTATAACATCTTGAGAGACCAGGGGACTATAGGGAGTATGGTTTCCTTTGGTTTCCATGGAAACTGGTCTCAAAAACTTGCTTGAACTTGCACTTCTTGATCAAACGTATCGCAAGTGCTCGCAAGTTTAAAAAAGCTTGCGATGAAGTTTGAACCAGCTCAAATCATTCGCAAGTCATCGCAAGTCAACGCAAGTTGGTGGTCAAACGAGACGCAAGCAAGTGCAACTTAAAACTTGCGATGACTTGCGTTCTCGTTTGATCAGGGCTTTACAAAAACAATTCTATATATAATTATTGATTATCATCAGTCGGCAAAATGCTTGTCTTCTAGTTGGGATTCGCCATTCCTTATAAGTGTTTCGACTCCTTTTAATGACAAACAGTATATAAATTATAGTGAATGAGAGCAACTTAAGCGAAACGTCGATCTTCAAAATAACTGATGCGAAACAGACACGTCGTAAGATATTCCATTACAAGTTTAACTTTACTACCCATCTTGAAGACCTGTTTTGAAATAATTGCAAACACCGACTGATCTGTAAATAATAGTGACGTTCTCTGTTTTTGTAAATATTGTAATATTGCATGTGAGCGCTGTATGTTAGATAGCTATTATGGTTAATACGTTTTCCTGGTGAAATAAAGTTTTATTACTACAGATATTATGGTTAATACGTTTTCCTGGTGAAATAATTTAAAAGTTTTACTACTACAGATTGTGTTAGACTTTGATGTCATCGAAGTGTCAGATAGATACGCTTTCTGAATATCTTGGAACAATTTTTACAATATCAAAAGGAGGATTTCCGTGGATAATCTGCACGCGCATTTGTGCGGTATGATTGACTTTCACCCCCGATCCGATCCTGGGAGTAGATAACCCCCCATAGAGCGACAGAAGTGATTCAAGCGAATGACGTCAACATGGGGGTGTACGTCCGGGCGTTCGTCCAAGCGTTCGTACGTGGTACGTCCAAGCGTTCGTACTTAGTGTACGTCCAGTTTTAGTGAGCATTACGTAATTGTATTGCACTTGTCTATAAAAGAGACTGCTCGTTTATTCACTGCATCCTAAGCCTTTGAAGATGAATTTTTCACAAAATTTTAAGCAATCGAACTGGGCCAACAGTATTCATGCAGACGAAGTTTCGTCCTCTGATTATAAAAGGCTTTTTAGTTTGTTAGAGGCTATATATGCAGAGGCTGTTGCTTGCGAAGTTGGTAAACTTACTAAAGAGAGATGTTGCGGTTGTGAGTACGACCATCCGAGTCAAGGCCAGCATGACTGTCTCATGTTATCAGAACAAGAGAGATGGCAATCGTATGGTTTGGAAGCCATGGAGCGAGTGATTGTTAAGCGTATGGTTTGGAGGGAGTTTGTTGAGGCTATTAGAGTGACGAAGTTACAGTATCATAAAGATGTTCGTGAGCACTTCGACAGTTTAGAGAAAAGTCGTGATTCAACGTTTGTTTACTCGCTGATGGATCTTCGTGAAAACACCGAGGATAATGAATTTGAATCAATTTTGAATTATCTTTCATACTGGAGAGAGGATAAATTCTGAGGACATGAACAAGTTTGAGCAAGATCTTTACGTCACCGGAAGCGGTCGTACTTTAACGATATATAAGGATGAGATCGTGCGCCAGTTTTCATTACTTGTCAACAGAACTGTACGATGGAGTGCTTACATGGAAAACCTGCTGCTAATTCCACAACAAGCAATGGATCATTTTGGTTTTGCGGTCAGAATCCCAGTTGCAATTTCTTTTGTACAGAAGACGAAGGCTACATGTATGAAAAAGCCATAACAGCTTGGAGATGTACGGAGCAGCCTCATCCTCGGTGCGATGGACATCATAAACTTGCGAAAATGTGTCGTGAAAAATTTGATGAATGTGAATTATGGAACACCATTCTTCGTGTGTGGAGAAAAGGCGAAGCCGTGTTCCTTTTGGATTTATTTTTCGAACTGATTTATACTTGATGTTTATTGACGATAAACCTAGTGTACAGCGGCCCCCCTAAACGTAGTGTAAAGTGAGTTGAATCACGCGCACATCATGTTCGTTCGTGTGCGACCTTAATTCAACGCTTAACCTTTGCGTGCGACCTTTCCGTGCGACGCCACACTGCGCGGGGGCACAAACAGGAAGAAAACTCAATTAGTGCCTTGAATCAATTAAAGAGAACGAACAGGGCATTTAGGCTAGTACTCGCCATGGAGAAGAAGCAAAAAGAAGCCGAGCGCTCACGAAGAAATCGTAGGAAACGAAAAAGTGAATTTGAAAAATATAAGGAATTCTATAAGTATGCTACTGAAAACAACATGTCATTTGTGCAAGAATTCGAAGCAAAACGGCAGGCGTCGTCAGCAGCAAGAGGAAACAGTCATAGAACCAGTGGTCGAAGAGAAACAACCGGAGACGAGTAGTTCGGCAGTGGTAGATATTGATGATATATTAGATGTTGACTTCAGCGGTTTTGAGTGGTAACAAGAAGAAACAAAAACACCGGCTCTTTTAAGAGCCACTACTTTTACAAAAAGAATATTGTACGAAACTCGATGTTCATGCATTCACATCTTGTATACATGCAAGCTCCCTCTGAATTTACATCGCTAAGACACACGCATACACTAACACACAGTGTTTTAAACATCCTATAATTCACACATAAACTAATACAGAAAGTTATGTTTTAAACAAAATTTATAAAGCCTTTAAACAAAATTTATAAAGCGCCTTAAAGCAAAAGCTTGAACTCCTCAAGTTCATCAAAAGTCGCTTCATAATCCTTCCCAAAGTTTTTAAAATGTTCCAATGCTGGCTCAAAAGGGAGATAAAGGAGTAACACGTTTTCCTACTGATTTTAAGAGCAAAATATTATTGGAAAGAAATTTTTCTGTAAGGAGTTGGGAGTCATAAAGGTCGGAGACTCTGAAGCCTCGTCGTTCTTTTTCGATATTGGCTTACACTGGAACGAGCTCAACGACAAAGACAAGAGAACGTGTAACTTCGTCCAGAAGAATATACATAGACTCCCGTTCGGAGTTCCACGGGGCACTAAAGCATTTCAAATTTCGGACTTGCAGGCAATTGTAGAGAATTTCTACCGTGAAATACAGATAGATTCAAACTCTACAATTGCCTTCAAAGGCGGACATTACGAAAGGGATTTGCTGGCGAGTCTCCGTATTCCGGCCGTAAATTTGGAATGCTTTAATTGTCCCAAAGCTGAAAAACTATTTGATCACTTGATCTGGTTAGAAACCTGTGGGAACCACCTGGAAAGCAACGCTTATCAACACTGCGCAAAAGTGGAAGTAGAGGCTTTTGCGATGTGGCTGCAACAGTAAAGACAAACCCAAAACACCGGTTCTTTTAAGAACCACCACCAATTTTACAAAAAAGAATAAAAACGAAACTCGATTATTAACATATTTACACTGAATCTCAAAGTTTACTTCTCAAATATTCCACATATGCCTTATAATGATCTTCTTCATGACTTCTAAATTGCTCGTCTGTCGCTTTCACAGTATACTTAAAACTAGGGGGCATTGAGAAAAAGACCATAGCCCCAGGTTCAAGTGGGTCATCACAACAATCCTCTTTGCAGTTAGAAAGTTGGTCTAGAATACTCAGCATCTCACTGTTCTCCACACTCATCATTGATTTAACATAAATGGGGTCTCTCCTAAAATTGATTCCAATATTCAAACACGTTTTCATCCCACTAAAGCTCTAAAACTTTGGTCACCTCAACAAACTTATTCCATACCACGTCTTTTTTGCTAACTCGCTCTATGGCTTCCAAATCATACATCTGCGATCTCTCCTCATACGATAACATAAGACACTCACTCTGACTAAAGCGATTTAGTTTACAACCACAACACCTCTCTTCGAAAAGCTCATAAACCTCGCAAGAAACAGTTTGTGCAAATATTGTCTCTAACAAATTGCATAGCTTCCGAAATTCCATGGGCGAAACTTCGTCAACATTATTCGACCTTGAAGAACGCATACTTGGTCAGGACATGTGCAATACAATTACATAATGCTTACTAAACTGGACGTACACTAAGTACGAACTCTTGGACGAACGCTTGGACGCACGCTAAGTACGTACACTAAGTACGAACGCCCGGACGTACACCCCCTGTTGACGTCATTCGCTTGAATCACTTCCGTCGCTATATGGGAAGGGGGGGTTATCTACTCCTGGGCGCGTTTTACAGATGGGATAAACAATTTATTCCCTGATCTGCAGAGAAGAGTGAAGGTCCTCAACAAGTTCTATCAGTGCCTGCATGGTAGCATGCCGAATGCCACAAACATACGAAAGCTAGATTTCGTTGAGCCTAAGGACTCTTGCAAGACTTCTTTGGCTGCCATCTTTCATCGTATCATGCTGGCCGATAAGATCGTTTCTGTCACGAGCGATCACGTGGATTCAACAGTTGTACTTAGTGCATTAGGATGGGAACCAGTTAAAGCAGAATGAAGGCCAAAGCAATATTAATTTTCAAATTACTAAATGAGATAGGTCCTAAATCTCTTAAAGTTTGTACTATGATATTTTATACACTCCAAACGTGGAAATCAGGATTTGTTGACGTGGTTAGCGTACCTAAATAAAGTTTTTTCAATCTGTCTACCAATCACCTGCCTGACTTTGTTGAAAAAAGAGGCGGTAACAGCCATTGCCAAATGATGAAGAAATACCTGGACAACGCGTTGCTATGACGACCTATGATCCGTTGAGACTGGAAGAAATCCAGCAGGTAGATGCCAGAAGGGAGAATATTATATACATGATTTATTTATTTATTAGGAAATTATTTTCAACACCCTACACAATGAGGACACGAAGTGAACGTCTTCCCTCATAAAAGCACGAAAAAGTGGGGACGGAGACAGTTTGGTTCGGCTTCTGTTCCATGTTGTAAAAGACCATAACAACCAGTACGTTAACGGAATGGTATAGCCAGTAACGGTCACTGTATTCAAAGTCTTCTGGCAGATTATCGTCAGCGTCAGAACCTGTTGCGCCACAACACTTTCCAGGAACTTCCACACGAATTGTTGTTGTCCACGCCCAATTCTTCGGTCGGGAAATTAATGCGGCGAAAGAAAAGTTAGAAGCACACGGGTTTCACTTTCAGTGCGAAGTGCACACAGCTTTGGGATTCCACCATTGCCCCAGTTTACCGGTGCACGCGTGATTTTAATAACAGCATTTCGAAACGTAAAGAGAATTATGAAGCTGGCTCAGAATGCCTTGTACAAGGTCAAACATTATTAAAATACATTTCTAGTGTATTTGTGTCTGTATAAAAAGTTGTAAAATGTCAGATTTTGTGTTTTTTAATTAATCGCATGCCATAGGTAATTTTTTGTCAGAAATAATTCGTAGTTAAAAGTTGAATAAAATTTGCAAAACAAAACCTGCGTGTGTCGAACCGGCCCGTACGTGTAGTTCTATTCGTTGAAGGCAGACAAGGAAATCTACGATCCAGATTTTTCAGGCCAATGTACGAAATGGCGAGAAGATACAGATAGCACCCTGGAGCGTGGCAGGAAGATACGGATACTTTAGAGGACATTTTGCGGGCGCTTAACCATGCAAGACAAAAGAAAAAACCCTGGTTCTTTTCAAAAGAACCACCAAAAATATAAATGTAAACAGAGTTTCCATATAAAGACGTTTTTATCCTAATTGTGTCAAGCGTAATATTTTACAACCCAGAGCTGCAGGTGAGAAATGTAGGTGTTTTAATGAGTACTTATTAGTTTGTGGAAATGCTGCAACCCTAAAAAGCTATTCAATTATTATTTTATTTATTCATTTGTTCAGACACATACAAACATAGACGCGTTCCATTTGACCCAAATAAAGATGATACAACATAGGCGAGATATTTAAACCTCATGCAATACCACAATTCTGCAGAGACAAAAAAAATTAGACGCGCCCAGCTCATACGTGCAACATATTATTTTGATGAATAAATGTCTTGTGTTTTGTGTACATAAAAATACCAGAGCCTGATGTCTTGGTTCTTTCGCCGTTGGGTCAACCATTCATATCCTAAATGAATAAATGTCTTCGTGTGTGGAGAAAAGGCGAAGCCGTGTTCCTTTTGGATTTATTTTTCGAACTGATTTATACTTGATGTTTATTGACGATAAACCTAGTGTACAGCGCCCCCTAAACGTAGTGTAAAGTGAGTTGAATCACGCGCACATCATGTTCGTTCGTGTGCGACCTTAATTCAACGCTTAACCTTTGCGTGCGACCTTTGCGTGCGACCTTTCCGTGCGACGCCACACTGCGCGGGGGCACAAACAGGAAGAAAACTCAATTAGTGCCTTGAATCAATTAAAGAGAACGAACAGGGCATTTAGGCTAGTACTCGCCATGGAGAAGAAGCAAAAAGAAGCCGAGCGCTCACGAAGAAATCGTAGGAAACGAAAAAGTGAATTTGAAAAATATAAGGAATTCTATAAAGTATGCTACTGAAAACAACATGTCATTTGTGCAAGAATTCGAAGCAAAACGGCAGCGTCGTCAGCAGCAAGAGGAAACAGTCATAGAACCAGTGGTCGAAGAGAAACAACCGGAGACGAGTAGTTCGGCAGTGGTAGATATTGATGATATATTAGATGTTGACTTCAGCGGTTTTGAGTGGTAACAAGAAGAAACAAAAACACCGGCTCTTTTAAGAGCCACTACTTTTACAAAAAGAATATTGTACGAAACTCGATGTTCATGCATTCACATCTTGTATACATGCAAGCTCCCTCTGAATTTACATCGCTAAGACACACGCATACACTAACACACAGTGTTTTAAACATCCTATAATTCACACATAAACTAATACAGAAAGTTTTTATCAGAAATTAAAAAAAATACCAGAGCCTGATGTCTTGGTTGATGTGCGAAATATACATGTAATATAATAATAGTAATAATGAAATATAATAATAGTAATAATAATAGTAATTTAAATTTAATAGTAATAATAATAGTAGTAATAATAATTATAGTAATAATAACAGTAGTAATAATAATAATAGTAATAATAATAGTAATAATAGTAATAATAATAATAAAAAACAAAAAGAAGAGAAGAGAGGGTGATTTGTTTGCATGTGGTCCAGCGAAGACATATTTGGACAAGGAATAACTGCTTGTTCACTACTTTACAAGATCATCTATACACCACCCGAGGAAGTCAAGTATATATTTGGATTTTGGCATACCTAGAGCTTCATGATTCTTTGAGCTATTGAATCGTCCAAGAGAAAACCGACGAATCTACAGTGACGAGCTTCAACACTTGGTTAATTGGAAACTACACAGGTATTTGAAGAGCAAAAAAAGATGATCAGGTTTTACATGACGAGCTTCGACAGATCATTGATGGACTACGATTCTATCAACAACACCGTGGATCACATGATATTATTGCATTACGTGTTGAAGATGAGGTTCATCTTCCAAGCGGAGATATCAATCACCACTGAGAAGTGCCAAACTGTCCAACTTTTTCATCGACGCATTTCCAGGCCCAGTCATCGACAGATTTACCATTCGCTCCCCTGTTGACAGATTCTTTAATTATCCTCTTTTAATGCTTTTATATATAATGTATCGAATATTTTCATATAGTGCGTAATCGACTCTTTTTAATTCCATATATAGATGGTGAACGCGAAAAACACACGTGGTAATGCGAAACACACACGTCGAAAGATCTTTACAAGCTTAACTTTACTACCCATCTCAAAGACCTGTTTTGAAAAACGAGACTTTTAATGCTTTTATATATAGTGTGTCGAACATTTTCATATAGTGTGCAATTGGTTGGTAGATATTTAGTAACACGGTCTAATGAAAAGCAACCTTTTAATTTCTGTAAATCTTTACATGGTTGATTAGTAACCGAGTAAAAAGATAATAATAATAATAATAGTAATAATAATAGTAATATTAGTAATAATAATAATAGTAATAATAATAACAATAATAATAATAATAATAATAGGTAGTAATAATAATAGTTAATAATAATAATAGGTAATAATAATAGTAGTCATAATAGTAATAATAGTAATAATAATAGTAGCCTGCGAACAGACTCTCAAGCTGAATTGAGAGCCTGCATCAATGACTAATGAATTTGAATATCTGCCCCGTAACGTTCGTTTTTCCAAATATGGAATGTCTATCCTTATATGGTGTTGTTTACAACTATCGTGCAAACTAAATTTAGACCGTGCAAACTAAATTTAGACCGTACACAGTTTATACTGTTTTTCAAAATATAAGATATTCAAGCAAAAGTTCAAATGTTTTAAACACTGTTTTCTCAAAACAGAACATTTCGTGCTTTGAGATAAAACGGCCAAGACCAATTTGATCAGTTAATGTGTTTTTATGCATAGTGCTTCAGCAGTTGACATATATAGAGCTCAGCGGAAACATATAAATTATATCATCTGACCAATGAGAATTTCGCGTCACGATTTGAGACGCAGATATTCAAATTCATTAGTTATCGATGCAGGCTCTCAATTCAGCTTGAGAGCCTGTTCGCAGGCTATAATAATAGTAATAGTAATAATAAACAAAAAGAAGAGAAGGGAGGGTGATTTGTTGGCATGTGGTCCAGCGAAGACATATTTGGATGAGGAATTTCTGCTTGTTCATTACTTTACAAGACCATCTACACACCACGCGAAGAAGTCAAGTATATATTTGGATTTTGGCCTACCTAGATCTTCATGATTATTATAGCTGTTGAATCGTCCAAGAGAAAATCCACGAATCTACAGCGACGAACTTCAAGACTTGGTTAATTGGTTACATAGGAGACTACAGGTCATGATCAGGTTTTACATGACGACCTTCGACAGATCATTGATGGACTACGATTCTATCAACACCGTGGATCACATGATATTATTGCATTACGTGTTGAAGATGAGGTTCATCTTCCAAGTGGAGATATCAATCAGTAACCACCACTGAGCAGTGCCAAACTGTCCAATATTTCCATAATGTGAAGTACTTGTTATTCAGTTACTGCGAAAATCCTTCTGTATATTTCTTTTACATGTACATGTATATTGTACATGGTTCCCAGTACATGTATATTCCACAAACTCATGTGATACCTGCTTTATAGCATTGTATGATTTTCTGGATTTCAAAATCCAAGGAGCTGTTAGAAGGTGGCTAAAACTACCAAACTAAAATTCCCAGAAAATCGGATTCATTCGATGAAGGAAAAGATCGAGATGTTCAAGCAACAAAACTCTCACTCAAGTTTCAACGAGAATGTATTTCAATATTCCAATTTCAGTGCATCTGAAGCTGTGAAAAGCACGAGGCACAAGCAGTGATTCGTTATCTGGAATAAATGATATAGCCAGCCTCAGTGAAGTTGCCCAGAACAATTTGTTTGCTTAAAGGTTGAAGTTGCACATGTACAATCTGTAAAAACAATTAAACACTCAAAATCATTCTTCCCTCACAAAAACAAGAAGTGATCGTACGAGATCCGATAAGACTAATTAACCTCATTCTGTGGGAAGATTATGTTGAGAGTCTTGAACACCAGAAAACATATACGGCCTCCAAAATGTCCGTCATTTAGACATACGGCATGGACTAAACTTCAAAAACAAGAATCTGAATACGAAATAAATCCGTTACGACGTGAAATTGATGATTTACATGCCAAACTTAAAGTCAGAGAAAATTGGGTTAATTTTAATGACTGCATGGTTGGGCTGTAAGTTTCCCATCTAACGTGACGGAAGAGAACGAGATGTTAAGACAACAAAACTCTATATGTGACTGAAGTTTTAATGAGACTACCTTCCAAGATTTAACCGTTTTGTCTCGAAAAAAGAAGGGATGGCCTGTAACGCCGTGAAAAGCAGCAAAATATGAAATGAAGATCAGCGAAATATAATGAGATTAAATCTGACAAACTAGTTTAAGTTACAGGCGATCGAAAGAGCAATTGTAAATATCTTGTACACACTCATTTATATGCCAAACTTGGAGACAGAGAAAATAGGATTCAATTATTGACTGATTGGGCTGCAAGCATTTCATCTGACGTGACAGAAGAGATGAGATGTCGAGGCGACAAAACTCAAAATGACTCAAGTTTAATCACAACCTTTGTTTAGAAGACCGGATAATTTGTTCATTTCTTGTTCGTGTTAAATTACGATAATTTGAAATAATTTAGTTTTTGGGCGAGCGAAAGTACTGGGTTTGAATAAAGAACTGAAGAATAAAGCACAATCGAACGTTTGGGTTGCAAGCATTTTATCGAACATGACAGAAGAGAACGAGATGTTGAGGAAACGAAATTTTATATGACTCAACTTTCAATATTTAACCGTTTTGTCTAAAAGAATGAAGTGAATATGTGCAAAACTGCGAGAGTCTGCTTGAACATAGGTACAAGTTTGAAATAAGCACTGAAGAATTAAGCAGAAGCAAACATTTGGGCTGCAAGCATTTCATCCAACGTGACAGAAGAGATCGAATGTTGAGGTAACAAGACTCAAAACATTAAATGAAGAGACCAATATTTATGTTTTCTTACTAAAATGTATTATTTTGTCTTACATAGAGTGTACTGGACGTTGCCATTTCATTTCAGCAAAGGCCCATGAAGGATTGTAAGTGATATATCTGTTAAATGCATTCTAATTAAAATAATAATGTCTCTGCGATATCCTTGTTGTATTTGTTCTGGTTCTAGTTGAGCCAATTACAATTACTTCGTTTCAGTCACTTTGTTCAGGTCAACATTCACGCGCGCGCGCATGCCTCAGTCGATCGGGCCTGGCGATTGAACGGCACGGGTAGAGGTTCTCTGACGCGTTTCTGACCGAGTGTTCTATATAATATGTCATACCTGCTGTCACTAAAGCAGAGACAATTACGTATTACTGATTTATCATTGGGGTTAAATGATAAATCGTGCCTTACCCAGACATCGACGGATTTGACATTCGCTCCCCTCTGCCTTCAATTGAGAGCAATTTGATAGCAACTTAAATTTTCCTCTTTTAATGCTTCTATATATAGTCTGTCGAACATTTTCATATAGTGCGCAATTGGCTTGGTAGATATTTAGTAACACGGTCTAATGAAAAGCAACCTTTTAATTTCTGTAAATATTTATTTGAGTAGTAACCGTGTAAAAAGATAATAATAGTAATAATAATAAAAAACAAAAGAGAAGAGAGGGTGATTTGTTGGCATGTTGGACAAGGAATGTCTGCTTGTTCATTAACTTACAACACCACCTGAAGAAGTCAACTATATATTTGGATTTTGGCCTACCTAGACCTTCATGATTCTTTTAGCTATTGAATCGTCCAAGAGAAAACCCACGAATCTACAGTGACGAGCTTCAAGACCTGGTTAATTGGAGACTACAGTTTTATGAAGAGCAAAAAAGATGATCAGGTTACACATGACGAGCTTCGACAGATCATTGATGGACTACGATCCTATCAACAACCCGGTGGATCACATGATATTAATGCATTACATGTTGAAGATAAGGTTCATGTTCCGAACGGAGATATCAATCAGTAACCACCACTGAGCAGTACCAAACTGTCCAATAATTTCATGGTAATGTGCACTACTTATTATTCAGTCATTGCGAAAACTCTACTGTATGTTTATTTTAGGTACTAGTTCAAAAGCGGTTGAGGTAACTAACATCGCTCTACTGTTCTGTTCTGTTGCAAACAATGTACTATACGAAGTGGACGGCCCAAACAAATTTCTTCAGATAAGTGAACCTAAAGAAAACTTGTCGTGTCTCATATTGTAACTTGTGACTGGGAAAGAAGTTGCAATTTCATATTGACTTCATGTAACTTGTCGCTCTTACAAAAACAATTCTTTATATAATTATTGATTATCATCAGTCGGCAAAATGTTTGTCTTCTAGTAGGCATTCACCATTTCTTAAGTGTGTTGCCTCTTTTTAATGACATATATAGATATAGTGAATGTGAGCAACTTAAGCGAAACGTCGATCTTCAAAATAACTAATGCGAAACAGACACGTCGTAACTTTTACAGACACGTCGTCTTTACACGCTTAACTTTACTACCCAACTTGAAGACCTGTTTTGAAATAATTGCAATCCTTGACTCGTCTGTAAATAATAGTGACGTTCTCTATTTTTGTGAGTAATGTAATATTGCATGCGAGGGCTGTATGTTAGATACCTATTATGGTTAATATGTTTCCCTGGTGAAATAAAGTTTTACTACTACAGATTGAGTTCGACTTGGATGTCATCGAAGTGTCAGATAGATACTCTCTCCGACTATCTGGGAAAAACTTTTCCAATATCGAAAGGAGGATTTCCGTGGGTAATCTCCACGCGCATTTGTGCGGTATGATTGCCATTCACCCCGACCTGGGCGTTCAACAATTCCATTCCCTGATCTGCAGGGAAGAGTAAAGGTCCTCAACAACTTCTATCAGTTGCCGAATGCCACAAGAAAATACGAAAGCTAGATTTCGTTGGGCCTAAGGACTTTTGCAAGACTTCTTTGGCTGCCATCTTCCATCGTATCATGCTGGCGGATAAGATCGTTTCTGTCACGAGCGATGTCATGGATTCAACAGTTGCACTTAATGCATTGGGATGGGAACCACTTAAAGCAGAAAGAAGGTCAAAGCAATATTAATGTTCAAATTACTAAAATGAGATAGGTCCTAAATCCCTTAAAGTTTGTACTATGATATTTTATATACTCCCCACGTGGAAATCAGCATTTGTCGACGTGGTTACCATGCCTAAATAAAGTTTTTTCTATCTATCTACCAATCACCTGCCTGACTTTGGTGAAGAAAACGTCTTCTGGAGCATTCAAATTTTCCCCTTCCGTCACCAATACCTGACACCGACACAGGTGGATGTGTAACCAAGCCATAGATTTGTTGCTTGGATGGCGAATGTTATAAATTAAAATATAGAGTTAACTGAATGGTAAGAAGACACGTCAGATAATAATTTGATGACCAAATATTTGATGACCAATATAATTGGATTACCAATATAATATATTGTATCTATATTAGGTTTATATCAGTTTTTAATGTCATGTGTTTTACCCTCAGTAAATAAACTTGTTATGTTATGTTATGAAGTGCTTATATGCCGTCCCGCACGATCCCATGTCTGTTCATCTATTCAAATGCAGTGCTTGACTGGGCATTATCAAGCCCAGATCCCAATAATGGGATTGAGACAGGGGGTGTGGATCTGAACCATCTGGCTTTTTCGTATAACACAGATAGGCCTGCTCGCCCGAACGTCTGTAGGAGCGCACAGCCAAATCAATCGATTAAACGAACATTTGAACAAATGTGGTCCGGCAGTACTGGCTAGTCAGCGTCGTTAAGAATCGATGTTGATGGCATAAAGAAGAGTTGGTTAGTCAACCCTTACGGGCATTTGCATGTGGCTGCAGTGGGTATACCTGCCAAATCTATTACGGTGGTACAGTGATCAGCATATCGTTATTTAGGGAACCCTTTCTCTGGAAGGCTCCCAGTGCGGATGTGAAACTGCTAAGACATTTGGATAATCTGAATAAGGTGCCCGCTGAAGCCTCAGCAACGAATGTGCATGTATATTCCACGAACTAATGTGATACCTGCTTTGTAACATCGGCTGGCATTGTGCAATTGATCGAGGGGGATTCCCGATTTCCTGAATTTTAAAATCCGAGGCGCTGTTAGGTGGCTAAAACTACCAAACTTAAATTCCGAGAAAATAGGATCCATTTGATGAAGCAAGAGAGCAAGATGTCCAGGCAACAAAACTTTATGACTCAAGTTTTAATGAGAATGGCTTTCAATATTCCAATTTCAGTGTGTATAAAGCTGTGAAAAGCAGGAGGGAGAAGCAGTGATTCGTTATCTGCAATAAAGAATACAGCCAGCCTCCGACAAGTT